GCAATGTGATCCCTTTTTCTAGTAGATTCCCATTAGGATTCTTGTTGGAACCTGGGAAAGCAGGCCCTACCCTGCATTTCCCATTTCTCAGGAGACTGCCAGAGTCGTTGTGATTTTCTGTTGCTGGGACTGCTGTCACTTTCTGCTAAGACCACAGAAGTCCTAAATAAATAAACACAAATCTCCCTCTGACTTCCATCTAAAAAGCTTCTAACCAGGTCTACTGCCAAGTACTTTGCTCTATGGAGACTCATGCTCCCATCAGTTTGGAAATTAGAACATTCAGGAGCAGACAATATTCAAACAAAAAGGTAAAGACTGACAGGTGGTGGGAGAAAGATGAATTTCCCAACATAAGTACTGGCCTCAGTACTGTGTGCTTCTTTAAGAGCTGTTTTCTGTTGCACCAAACAGGCAGCTTTTGACTGCATAGGTGGCAGCAAGGTGAGAAATAACTAGCTGCCCTGTGACTCTGAACAGATTTCAGATGCAGCAGGAGTGATGAGGTCAGAACAAGGAGAAACAATAAACTCCCATGCAGAGAAGCTTTACCTTAATTCCCAAACTAGTTATGTCCCCCATTTTTTCCTAACAGCATCCAGAGCACCTCAGTTTCACATTTCATATGCTTTTTACAAGACAATTATTGTACTTATTCTTTTTGCGCTGACTGTCACAGAAAATTAAGTATACACTTAACAAAAGTCTGCATTTAGGAAATCAATATTCTTTTCACTTATGCAGCTTTACAACAATCATATGAAGTTGAAAAGAATATATTAGTCCTGCTTACACACAATGAGCTTTAATAGCTTTCTGTGCTCTGCATCACAACAGTTAAGTTTGCAAAATACAAAAAAAAATTAAATTTAGCTGCTGACATCTATGTAAATATTTCCTTTCCAAATATGCATCTTCTCTACATAGATATGCATGGAAATGTTGAGATGCATTCCATGACAACACAAAAAAAAATTCAATCCCACTAGCTGAAAATAAATAAGTTGCAGTGTCACAGCTACAGTGCAAGACACTGCCACTGGACTGATTCACAGAGAAGGAATGGATTTTATCCTACTCCCTGCCTTTAATAGCATCCAACAGGATTTGCACTCCTGTGGAATGAGATGATGGTGATGGTGATATGGATGGCCCCCCTCTCATTCAGGATTCACTAGAATACTATAAATAACTGCTTTTTATGAGACTGCCTAGTCCTAAACTGGTCACCTCTCAAGTAAAACAGATGGTGCTTACTTACAATACCATAACGTTTTTAATAGGACACACCCTTTTCAGAGTTGTTCTCCACCTCCTAGGTAGGACATATGTTTTATCAATTAAAGTAGGTCACCTCCTTTGAGTGTGTAACTACAGGCTTGTTGTACATCAGGTAATGCATCTGACTTTGTGGACAATGCTGTGAGTAGGCTGCTAGGGAGCCTGTCCTGGAGGGGATGTGGAAAATGAAAGACACACACCCACGCCACCCCAGGAGCAACCTCCTATGGCAGAGTACGCATTTTGATGTGGATCACACAGATTTTGAGTGTGGTGCACACTGAGGGGCAATAGGAAATCACCATGATTCTGGCAGTCTCCTGAGAAATGGGAAATGTGTGCTTATTTTACCCAGTCTCATAGATACTAATTAGAGGGTTTCAAAACAATTAACAGTCCAAATATTTATTGTGAGTACACGGTCACAACATGATGTGTAGTATTGTGAGCACCTCTGAAAGGACAGACAAGCAAACAGCATTTATTCCCTTCCTGTAGTGCACACGCACTACACATAGTGCAGCACATGTACACGTACATGTAGCTACATGTACACATGTAGCATGTCCTTGGGCTTATGTGTTACAGCTGAACTCATCTAAGCAGGCTTGTTGCCCTCAAAATAAGGGATTCTACACTGGGAACAGTGTAGAGAACTTCTACTTCAGGCCACTGTCTTTGCTTCTTTCCAGATCATGCTCTGGTACTCATCACATAATGAGTTTGTCCAAGTCACTAATCTCCTGAAAAACTATTTCTCTTTTTTTATAGCTGAAATTGTTTTCTGCCAGATTAGTGACCTGAATTGACTCACTGTGCAGTAAAATGGAACCAGCGAAGGGGAAAGGGGGAAGCAGGAGATGGGAGTGCAGGGATGTGTGTAGGTTGGTGAGAGCAGGATCTCCTCTTTAAGTACTAGTAAAAGTAGCAGCAGATATAATAGCACCTTTTTAAACAGCCAAGCAGGGAATTTACTTTTCAGTGCTATATTGCTGCAGCATGGTCCTGGAAACATAATGGGTTGGTCCTGGGGCCAAGATCTGCACTGCAGGGCATTGTGTTCTGCCTCCACATTGTTCTAGTTCTCAAAGCTGCTTGTGCTGTCACAGAGTGGTTGGCAGTGTTGTATTGTTCTTGTGAGCTTATTCCCAGCCTGTATGTCAATCCAGAATTGATTCAAGGCTGGTTTTAAGCCATCCATATGGCAGTTATCGACAGAAGAAAGCACTATAGCACACATTAAATTTATTATTCTGAAACTTTAGGAGGGATGTAAATGGTACATTAGTCTCATGCAAGCCTATGCTGCCTGAAATTTAATTATTTACTCACTACTCTAAGTACTCTTACTTTGCACTTCAGTAAGAAAACATGTGACTAACTTAGAGCAGGCTTTTATCACTCTTTTTAGTCATAAAAAACCCTAAATCCTAATTTACTTCTTCTTTACACTGGCTTCTGTCTCCTAATAACCCATGCCTGCAATGAAGGTTCAAAGGAAAAACGGCTTTATAATTACTTAGAAAGGTCAAAGACATTACTTCCAACTTAAATAAAAACCCAACGAAATATACCACTTCTGGCACACAACAGCTCAAGAAGTAATCACTCTCAATACCATATATTCAAAATTGTTACATATTCTAATAATAGTTTAAAATGTCAGGACATGTTCACTGGCAGACTAGAGGAGCCTAAGAGCAGCTGAGCCCAAGAGAAAAGCCCTCTTATGCTCCCAGCTTTTTCTAGCACTGAGTAGCTCCACCTTCACCCAAGGACAGTTCACCTGTGAAACAGATCACAAGTTATTTAGTTGTTGCAAGGAATTTTACCATTTACATTAAATAAAACTGTTATGACATCTGTTATGCTGTGAGACTAATGAAAGCTTTGAAATTTGAAGAAAACAGAAATACTTGAAAGCACTATTAGTCCATAATTTTCGAAGTTTTTAATTAAGTTCCAGGAGAATAAAAAAGAGTAAGAAAGAGGATTGAAGAAAAGAGGGTGGAAAAAAAGGAAAGAAAAAGGAAAAAACGATGGGGACAGAAACAGAAGGAAAGCACTGCTTGATAGGTAGTTTACCAGGCAGCTTGCAAGCAGAGATAGTCAAAAATGGAAAGGCATTCATCTACTGTTCAATTTCAGTGAGATGCTAAACTCCTCAAGGTCAGCTCAGAAACCAGCTTGAATTTTGCTGAATCTATAAATTCTGCAGATCAGGGATCTTTGCTTCTCTCCATTTTAAAGTACCCGAATAAGATCAATTATTATGCCCCTGGTACATTTTGTAAACATTTGAGGTAATTAATCTATTACAAAAAACACTGTATTATTCTCCTGCTAGAAGACAACCCCCACTCTGAGTTCTAGAGAATGCAACTCATAGTTAGGAATTTCGGTAATTTAAACTTCCTCCCACCAGCACATGCAAATGACTGCAAGTACTGACAAGAGCTGCATTCTGACAGCCCTCATATCCCCGAACATGCTCCTGCAGCCGTCAGGAGAGGCAGCAAAAGGCCGTGTTGGGGAGCTCACTTACCTCATAGCTCTCTGCCTTATTTCAGGTTACCAAACAATACAGATTAAAAAAAAAAAAAAATCTTGAGGACCAGTATGTGAGAAATTAGGTAAACTAGGTGATAGTGAAGAGAGGTGGTAGAAATTAAGATGTCAGTTTTTATCCCTTCTTCTGTTACTGATACCTGTGGATATTACAAAGGCAATTAGTCAGCTCTGGTTTTTGCAATCTCTGAAACAGTAGGAACTGCTGATGATAAATGTGTTGCATATTTGATGGTTTCATGGAAGTGCGTGAAACATACTTCACAATATATGACTCTCTTAGGCCTCATTTTCCAATGCCTTGTTCCTTGTACCAGATGTTTGCATCAGTGTCTCATGAATGAGAACTGCATATAAAGTAAGTTTCTGTGGGTTTTATGATTCATGTTCATTATCAACCGATAGGGAGTCATAAAATCAGGCTAAAGATTGCTTCAACAGGACAGCTAATTTATGGCAGTATTAAAATCTCTCTACACAAGGTGTTCATATATTTACCACGCCTACCATTTTTTCCTAATAGGTAATGGCAATCCTTCTTGTTCCAAATAAAACACTTGCTATCTTCAAATCCACAGAGAACTTGGTGGTCTAGATTTTCTTTTTCTTTACCTGAGACTTCCATGGTTTTGACTGGCACTACTAAGTTTCACTTTGCTTCCTCTTTTTTAGGATGATGATCTCTAGTTCTTGAAAACTTTCCCTGGTGCTTTCTTCCTTCCCGACGGCTCTCCGCTCCCTCCTGGAGCACTCTGCTCGCTTTGCTTTCCAAACCCTTTCCTGCAGAGCGGTGCTGGGGACTGGCGGCATCGCTCCGGCCCTACGACCCCTCCAGGCAGAGCGGCTGACAACAGCAGGCGCCTCACGGCAGCCTCACCACCGACAGCTCAGTTATTCACACTGTCCACACGGGAATTTCTCCGAGTGCTTGCAAAGGCTGCACTCGCCTGCTTAGCGTGACGGGCTCCTGTAGCGCAGCTCCGTATTCGCGCCTCATTCCGCAAGGCCGAACGGGACCGCCCGGCGGCGGCGCTGCCCGGCCAGGGACAGGGACAGGGACAGGGACAGGGGCAGGGACAGTGACAGCGACAGGGGCAGGGCCGGGGCAGGGCCGGCCCCCTCCCGCCGCCTCCTCCGCTTCCTCCCGGCCCCGCCTGTTGATGTTTCACTTGCTTTTAATTCCCGGGTCGCAAGATGGAGGCGGCGCTGGCTCGTCGGGAGCTGCTGCTGCTGCCGCTGTCGCTGCTGCTGCCGCCTCTGGCCGCCGCTCTGCTGGGCCCGGCCGCGCCGCTGGGACAGGTACCGCCGGCTCAGCCCTGCCCTGCCCTGCCACCTTCCCTGTCCCTGCCCTGCCACTGCCACCTTCCCTGTCCCTGCCCTGCCCTGCCACCTTCCCTGTCCCCGTCCCTGCCCTGCCACCTTCCCTGTCCCTGTCCCTGTCCCTGCCCTGCCCTGCCACCTTCCCTGTCCCTCTCCCTGCCCTGCCCTGCCCCCTTCCCTGTCCCTGCCCTGCCCTGCC